CACGGGAGAGGACACGTGGAGAGAGACACGGGGGAGAGACACGGGGAGAGAGACCCACGGGGAGGGAGAGAGACAGTGGGTAGAGACACGGAGAGAGAGACACGGGTAGAGACACGGGGAGAGAGACACGAGGAGTGAGAGACACGGGGAGAGAGACACGGGGAGAGACACGTGGAGAGAGACACGTGGAGAGAGAGACACGGGGACAGAGAGACAGTGGGTAGAGAGAGACACGGGGAGAGATACACGGGGAGAGAGAGACACTGGGAGAGAGACACACGGGGAGAGAGACACACTTGGAGAAGGGAAATAATAAAATAATACAATTTTTACATAATACTTGGAGAAGGGAAATAATAAAATAATAAAAAATTGACATAATAAAATTAAATTCTCACGACGTTTCGGCCACAACGCAAGCAGCCGTCCTCAGGTGAATTAACAGGGCTGTCGGAAAGACAGCGCTCCAATGAACATTGCTAAGCTTGGCAGCGTATTTAAGCTGGGTGGAAGTTTACACATCAACAGAGGAATTAAGCATAGAAGTAGCTATGATAATGTGAGAGATTAGCATGATGTTAAAGTGAGAAATTAGCATGTAATTGGTCACGGAAGTGGCTATGTTAAAGTCTTACGAACAACCCACACTTACGAACCAGCTTCCACGAAATATATTTGTTTTAACATCGACTTTTAAACGCGAGCTCTCACATGTGAGAGTCAGCCTCGCGTTGCCAGTGAGTGTTTGTGTGTGCGTGGGGGCATTTAAATACGGTGGTGCCATTAGTGCGTTGCGACTCACCGCTTAGTTTCAATTTACAGTCAAACCTCGTCATTTCGGCATTTGATCATTCGCTATTTAGGATAATTCAGCACGGCTGCCTCTTACGGCACATATGCCGGTGTTTTAGCAATTCGCCCCGAGCCGAATTGCCGTGCCTAAATGGCAGAGGTCGCAACCGGGTACCCGATACCCGTACCCTACCCGATACCCGGCTACCCGTACCCGGCTGGGTACGGGTACGGGTAGGCCGTGAGTCACTGGTGAGTCACCGTTTGTCACTCATTTCCCAACGTCTTGTCTCTTCTCACAATTCAAGTTCCTAGAATCAACCCACCCGCGCCTGCAACGTGGCTTCATCCCAGAGGTCGCAATCGGGTACCCGATACCCGTACCCTACCAGTACCCGGCCGGGTACGGGTAGGGTACGGGTACGGCCGGGTACGGGTACCCGTCTGCGACCCTGGTGCGGCCGGGTACGGGTACGGGTAAGGAATCAAAACCCGTTTGCGACCTCTGCTAAATGGTACAATTTTGGCATAGCGCGTTGAGCATTAGTACAGACCTGTTGCTTTGGACATTGCCTTGTTTATGCACTCTGCTCATGTGCAGTAAGTGCATACTCGGTGCATTAAGCCCCACTCCACAACCTCTTGTCACCTACCGCATTGAACCTACCGCATCCTCCTATTGGCTACTCATGGTGTTACTTTTTTCTTCTTGGCTCTTTCGGTAAAGTCACGTAGAATGGAAATAATAAAATAATAAACATTTTTACATAATTAAATAATTCTCACGACGTTTCGGCCACAACGCAAGCAGCCGTCTTCAGGTTGTGGCCGAAACGTCGTGAGAATTATTTTATTATGTTTTATTTTTATTATTTTATTACTTCCCTTCTACGTGACTTTACCGAAAGAACCAAGAAGATGGCGTTTTTTTGTTTAAAAAAAACGTAAGAAATCATCGAATATTAAATAAAATGTTTATTTTAATTTTAAATGTCTTAGCCAATTAAGGAATTCGAAAAAGCTGCAAATTTTATGTGTAAAAAGTGCCAGCCGTAAGGACCACCGTTTCGCAAAAAAAAACACTCAAATTAAAATCTCCAAATTCAAAAGATTACGAACCGTTCGACTTACGAACAGGCTCCAGGAACTAATTGTGTTCGTAAGTCGAGGACCGCCCGCTGACAAACATGGGTACACACGCGCATACACAAAGACAAAGATCCCCCGTATAGCCTTAACAGACTGTAGGGGCAAGTGCTGTTAGCAAGCACCTATGAAGGCCGGCACTGTGGCACACGAGGGGGTGGGTGGCCAGCACCACGCCCGACCGCCTTTGTCTCCCCAGTAGCGATGTTTACCACACACCGCAGCAGATACTCATGTGAGGCTGAGTCGACCTAGGGGAGGCCCAGGACCGGTTCAGATAATCGTCACTGGATGTTGGCCGTGAGCGGGAATCGAACCCGGGTCGCCGGGTTCATAGCGCAGCGTAGCGCTAACCGCTGCACCACCGCTCCCCACTCACACACGTGTGCACACGTGTACGTACCTTGAACTTCGTTCGCACCGTACGTCGAGGTCTCTCTCTGATGACACCACCACCACCACGTGACTTTTCATTTGTATTGTGCGCGTGGATTTGTAACGTTTGTTTTCTTTTGTGTTTGCCGGTGACTTTGTGTGTTTCACATCGAAATCGCCTCCAGTGCTTCTGCTGCTGCTGGCGGCAATAAAAGTTGTTTCAAACGTCAAAAGTCTGTCTCACGTATAGCACACGATCACGTTCACACAATCGCATTCACACGAGCACATTTACAAGATCACAATTGCACAATCTCATTGACGAAATCAATGAGACCTTCCCGTTTTCCACGTGTGCATCTCCTCGCGCAGCTGGGCCGCGACTCGTTCAGACGTCAGCAGAGTCTGGATGTCAGCAACGGAGTGATCTTGGTCCGCCAAGGGGCATCGTCTTCCCTGTCCCCGTCGCCTCTCCGCAGCGCGCTGCCCCCTGCCCTGGGCATGCCCCGTACGGCCCCCGCGTGGCTGGCCTACAGCAACCAG